ATTGGATACCTGCTCCAGATTATAATTTGATATTAAATAAACAGCTGATTGAATAGCCCTCCGAGAGAAACACATAACTTTAAATTTTTGAAGGTTTAGTGGCATATAGTTTGTATTACTATAGTTCAGTTTGTATTATTATAGTTCAGATCCGCTTGTAACAAAGACCTTTCTTCGATAGAGGACAATGTTTTAAAAAGTTTCACATCATCGGCATACATTAAAATTTTTGAATGTTTTATTATAGAAGAAATATTATTAATGAATATCAGGAACAGAATCGGACCAAGGTGGCTTCCCTGAGGATCTCCTGAAGAAACTTTAATGGTGTTGGAAGAACAATTATTAACAGGGAACGGATTTTTAGGACCTAGAAACCTATAAAAAAGGCAAAATAAAATAACGAAATAGGCTTGAAAAGGCAAAACAAAATATCGAAAAAGGCAGGAAAAGGAACTAGGTGTTGCAAAAAAGGCAAAAAAAGCAAAACCAAATAGCGAAAAAGGCAGGAAAAGGCACTAGGTATTGCAAAAAAAGCAAAATATGGCACTAAAAAAAGACAGAAAATACAAAGAACAATCAAAAAATACATTTATTTTAGAAATGTTTATATTACAAGTAAAAAGAGAAAAACAATGAACTAGTTTCATTATATGAAAAATTTGTACTTTGAATCTTTGACTATTTTATCCTTTCGAGTTTCTAACTAATAAAACTTTAATCTGTATAGTTGTAGTAACATTGAACCACAAGGTGCATTTTGAAGTTTTCTGGCAGCGTTTTCATTCGATTTTCGCGAAGAAAAGCCTTGAATGTACTAAATGTGCGCTCGACGTAAGTTGATACAAGTGGAGCCCAATTTAAATATGGAACGTTTGAAACGTTCATATTATCAGGAATAAGGGCGTTTCCCTCGCCCTTTACAATTTTATCCACACCCCTTATTGTCTCAAAGCCCACGTTAGCTGAGAAAACGGCTTTGAATTTTTCCAACACCAATTTGGCAAGAGGTCCCTGCGCTTCTATAAGCCGCATGGGCATGTGTATATTTTTTAATCTTAAAAAAAAAAAATTGTAAATGCTATAATCGCTTTTTTAAAGGTAGAAAAGGCAAGAAAAGGCAAATATCTTAAAAAAGGCAAATATCTTAAAAAAGGCAACATCAAATGTGTATATATGGAATCAGGGAAAGCTAAATCGTGGTCATTCTTAATCGAATATACTCTATCTCTTTAGCAGAAAATAAGGCAATTTCCATAAAATAAGTTCCCTGATTATTAACAATAACTCTTTGTGTTCTATCAGAGAGGTAAGATGAGATCCATTGAAGAAGACTGGGCTGAAAGCCGATTAGGTCGAGTTTACGGATGAGTAACGAGTGACATACTTTGTCAAAAGCTTTACTGAAATCGGTGTATATTACGTCGGTATGAGCATTTTCTCTTAAACCGTTTGAGACATGAGTTGTAAACTCCAATAAATTAGTCATAGTAAATTTTCCTTTAGAAAACCCGTGTTGAGATTGTGTAATTGAAGAAGATATAGAATATGTCAGCTGGTTAACAATAATTGCTTCGAATAATTTGGGAATAGCGGAGAGTTTCGCTATGCCTCGATAGTTTTCTATAGAGGACCAGGCTGACGGAAAAACGCCATGTTTAAGTGACAAATTGAATAGAGTTGTTAAAGGCTCGCAGATGTTCTCAGCGCAGTTTGTAAGAAAACAGGTCGGAATATGATCAGGTCCAGGCCTAAATGACGGTTTTAAGGTTTTTAAATAGTGTAAAACTTCATCGGAAGATATTACTGGAATATAAGCAGTATGGATTGGACAAAGCTCGTACGGATAGTCTCCACTTTTAGGGAAGTCTACAGAATAATTGGACCTAAAGAACTGAGCAAACATGTTGGCAATGAGTTGGCTGTCGCTAGATACAGTGTTGCGATAATGCATAGCGGACGCAAAACCATGTGCCTTACGCTTTGAATTTACGAAACCATAAAATGATTTAGGATTGTTAATTAAATTCTTCTTAATTTTTTATAAATATGCAAAGTAGCTATGCCGCAAAACTGAGTACCTTAGGTAATCACTGTGTAAGCCCGTTCTTTTATACAGTTTAAAAGAGTGCGACTTTTTATTTTTAAATTTTTTAAGCTCTTTAGTGAACCATAATTTTATTGGTTCTTCATGAACAATATTACGTTTTGGCACATACTTTCGAAACAAATTGAAAACAGTATCATTAAAGTTCTCAACGCTACGCTCCACGCCATCTCTATATATTGGCCAAGATAACTTTGAGAGTTCTTTGTTAATTTTCCTGAAATTTACTTTCGCAAAAACATATCTAGTACTTGAACTTGACTTATTATTATGTATTTAATTTATGATTTCGTAGCTTAACTCAAGAGCAGGATTGTATGCATCTTCCGGCAAAACTAGGGGATCACACCGATTAATAGAGGCCTTCGGAACATAATCAACGTAAACTAGATCCAAGACCTTTCCAAACTTATTTGGACATATATTTATTTGTTTGAGGCAAAGTTCCTCCAGAAATACATTGTAACTACCTCTAGATGAAACTGGTACAACATCGGTGTCAATGATGTTCCACGAAATGTGTGGCAGATTTAAATCGCCCAAAACAATCATAGAATCGGATGCCGTAAGCATTGTTTACGGTCTCAAGTAAAGAAACTAGCTGCATATATACTGATACGGCAGAATTAGGAGGGATGTAACAAAGAGCTAAATAAATATAAGTCTTTCCAGCCTGTACACGTATACATTTAAATTCGGTATATTCAATAACAGGAAGACTAACTTCCTCGGATGGTATCGATGAATGCACCGCAAAAAGAACACCACCGCCGATTCTGCCCACGCGGTCACTCCTGTATATTTGATATTCATTTGGAAGAATTTCGGAATTAAAAATAGGAGGTTTGAGCCATGTTTCGGTCAAGGAAATAATATTATAATTGCAGTCAAAACCTTTTAAATATAAGTCAGTTAATTTGGTATTCAAACCTCTAACGTTTTGATAGTAAATACTTAAATTAGACTTGCGAGCTAGTTTTTTGAATCCGAATTAAGATTAGAAATTTTAGCTACGTTATTATTACTTTTATTAGGTTTATACTCAAACTCGCGAACAAACGCCCCGGTCGGCCAAAATGAACTATTTAGTAGTGAATAAAAATCTTCTACATCAATTTTAAAAGATGAAATATCGCGATCGTATTTAAAATTAAATTTACGAATAGTTCTAATTTTAGTCGATATGTATGGCTTTATATCATCCGAAGAAGTATCTTTAGCAAATCTAGAGATAAAGATTGATCTTCTCGGAGGAATTACAACCAACTTCTTTGTAATGATGTCTGATGTGCGGGGCTCCGAATTATTCGGAGGAACTAAGTTAGACAGTGCAGCATGAGATGTTGATGGCAACACTGTTAAATCAACGGTTTGACTATTTTTAGAAGTAGACCTAGTGGATATGGCTTTAGATATCGGAGGCTCCAATGCCTGAGGGCACGAAGAAGATAGATTAATAAGTTCCAAGGACTGGGATGGAGGATTTTTTTACTAGAATCCGCGGCTGTCTTTTTAGGTGG